CACGCTCTTGACCATGAAGCTTTCTCTCCACCCCATCATTTATGCAATTAATAAACAAACCTTTAGGGACACCTATCATTGGATTTGCTTTCTATGTATCTGATTTACTTATACAAAATACTTGCATATGAAATTTAGTATATATTTTAGAACTGAAAGGTCTTTAGTCTCTAAATCAACACTATGTAAATCTAATTCGTACAACCTTATTTTCTTCCATTATTACATGGTGGCTTATAATTTGTGTGACTTTCTGAATTGTTTCCTTTGAAAGTCCTGGGAATGAGAAATAGTTACAGTGCTCCCAACCCCCACTCAGGGGGCAAATGCCATCAGTAGCAAGAAACCAGGCATCATCTAGGTGCTTGGCATCACCCAGATAAGCTTTTCACTGTTAGTCCTTGACATTCTAGCTACAGAATCTTCTAGGGTGTTTATTTAAAAGATAGATTCTGGGACCCATCCCTGATGCAGGTGTAATGGGGACATTTTGAGAAATGGGTTATAAGGAAGTGGGTGGCATAATTCCAACCTTACAGAGGCATACAACTCGCTCACTGGTGTGTTGAGAACAAACACAGCTCATTACTTACATCTTTGCTTTAAATTCTCGTCTTCAGCGATAGTTCAGAAGACACTCAGGAAACAGTGAGACTGGGTTCCTGTGGAAGAGCAGGGCAAGCACTGCAAGAAAAAGCCCAGTGTTTCCCTGATAGTTGGTACAGGCTTTTGTGTGACCACAGCTCATCGTTTTCCAGCTGGCTATGGACAGATAGTGCCCTCAAAGTTCCCAGGTAGTTTTATGTAGCATGTACAAAGAGTAATAGGAGGCTAGTCCTTGTGAAGAAGTGTAACTTTTTATTAGGAAAGATGAAAGAAAAACGTTCTGAGGCTAGGGAGGTGACTCAGTAAAATGCCTGCAGCCTAAGCATGAGCACCGAGTTCAGATTCTCAGTACCCATGCGGACACCACCTGTACTGGCATGGCACCGTACACCTACAATCCCATGAGTGGGAGGTAGGGACAAGAGGATCCCTGGAGCTTGTTGGACAGCCAGCACAGCCTTATCCGGGAGACTTCTTGTCTAAAGTGCCAACTTGTAACTTTTTGTAGCTTTTCATGATGTTTTTCCTCAAGTAATGGACACTTCTTGATTCTTTCAGGCAAGCTGAGGTTCCAGCTCACAGCCTCTCTGGGCTAGGCAGCCGCTCACTCACTCCATTATGACTGGGTCCGTATATTCACTGTCGAGAAACAGCACTTTAATTTCCTTTGATGTATTCCATTCCCCCAAATTGATTGCTGAATTGTGTGACTGCCAGCCTGTTTTATTTGCTTTGTCTTGAGAGAACGTTCCAAATGCTCCAGATCTGCCACCTACCCGTTATTATTTCCTCCTCCCCTCCCAGGTTTCCTAAGCCAGCTACAGAGCTGGCATTCTGCATTTGGAGTCATCTTTCCTAGATCCTTGGCTACCTTCTTTTGTATAAACCTTCGTTTTGCTTGGGCACCTCCTTCAGCAGCTTTCTAAGAGATGATACATGAAGAGGACCCATATGTTTGTCTTTATTTGAGTGAGCATAGATTTATTAGTTGAAAATAACTTCCTCTTCAGGATTTTGAAGGTGAGTTTCCATTGCTTTTTATTTATTTTTTTCTCTTCTTTGTTCCTTTCCTAAAGACATCTCAAACTCAATGAGTCTAAATCAAATAAAATTCAAAGTCCACCAGAACCTCTACTTCTAACACTAAAACACATCACATCTCTTTTTCAATATACACAATGCTTTGGAGGAAGCTATGATCATCACCCTTACCCTCTGATAGAAATTATATTTCAAATAAATTACTCAGCTGTGCATTTTTTTATGTAGAAAGTAGCAGAAATATGGAATTGCTGAAGAATTCTTTGCATTTATGTCAGCAGCTTGTTATTTCTAACACTTGGGACCTTGGCATGTGGAGTGTGTTCAGTTTACAGAGAACAAGCTGGCAACTTGGAACATCCCACAAACAATGATCAGAATCTACACACTCCAGAGTTCTTCCTCCCTCAATATCCTAGGTTTACCAGCTTGCCAATGGAAATCTGCTTACTGAACTAGGTTTGTTTTCCCATATCCCAACTGTGCTTTCTGGTACAATCTACCACACAGACCACTTTCACTGACATGTTTCAGAGTGTGCGTTGGAGAGCACTCATCCTAAAATAGTGAGACAGTGATTTCTTTGTCTCTCGATCTCCATCCAGGCTGTTTTGGTCTTTCATTACTGCACACACCAGGTCTTCTCCTGGTCTTCATCCACTGGGAAACTGCTGTGCTGTTGAGAAGTGTCCCCAGAGTTAGGACACATCAACATTTCAGTCTGAAGATGGTGAGAATGGCACATGTAATTTCCTCCGTGTCTCCCTCCTTCCTAGTGGAAGGGTTACCTCTGTATTTATTGGCCACTTCAGTTTCCGCTGTAAATAACTTGTTTTCTCCTGACTCAGTCCTACAAATCTGGATACTGGTAGCTGTCAGGTTATGTTCATTGCAAGAAAACACTATTGCTTTATTTGATGTGCAACTGTTCTGTAGAATTCATCTTTTTCTTCTGTATGGTTGGGCTTCTCTTTCTTGATGGACGACTTTTGGAAAATCATTTTTACTCTCAATATCCTATACCCTCATTTTCCTGCTCTAGACAAAGGTTGTGACTTAATAGCTTAAATAATTTTAGTTTCCAAAGATCCTAATCATAGAAGATAAACAAAATAACACTAAATCTGTCATTGTCAACTATGTATAATATATATTACTCTTAGACATACTAATACTAGATTGTGTGTGTCTTATTATAGTTTCTTTTACTTATGAACTTTATAGCCTTCCCTGTTAGGGCCACATCCTTTGCAAGTGCATAACACTATATTTTATAGACATAGTAACTATTATTTATTTCCTTGACATTTAGGCTCTTTCCAAATTTAAAAGAAGATGCTGAAACAATGTTCTTTGGGTTGTGTGTGTGTGCTGTTTATGTAGTATTGAGGCGTGTACATTTGTGCTTGGCTGTCTCTGATTTTTGAGCTAGTGTCTTATTATACTGGGTACTCACTGATTGGGTCAGTCTGGCTTGCAAATACACTGCCAGTCTCTTACCACACCATTGCCAGGGTTACAAACATGCCATTATACTTGGCTCTCTCCCTGAGCACCAGGAATTCAACTCATTGTATAACAACCTTCCTGGAGAGAAACAAATGTCTCTTAACCCCAGATATAGAATTCCAAAGGAAGGATACCACCAAAACTCAACTTGGTGAACCACTGAGTTTTACTGGGTTTCCTTAGAGAAGCAGAGACTCAGACAGCTGCATCACCGAAAGCCCGTACCAGCATAGGCACAGCTCATGAAACCTGGAAACCTGAAATGTATTAGACGACCTACAGGCAGCTCAACTGGTTCGAGTGTTCTTTCTGGGAGTTCAGTAGGTCCAAGCCTCTTTCAGACAACTCTTGTGGTCTCTGCTTTTTCCAAGAGGCTCAGCTGGCTTTCTAGACAGCTGGCTTGTCTCAGTGACCCTCAGCTATCATTTCTTACCTATGCTTGAGGAGGGAGGAGTCTAGTGAACCTAGTCGATTTTAAGAGCTTTTGACTTGTGCACATCCTGAGCTTAAGGAAGTTCCCAGCAGGATGGACTATTTCACCTTCCCTTAGAATATCTTCTTTTACCCCCTCTGTAACGTCTATGAAAACAGTTTCCTTCCAAGACAGGTTTTAATCTTAGAGGAAACTGCTACACAACACAAACTCAGGTTCATGTGCTTCATGGAGGCTAACTCAGTAGTCTCTCTGGCTCCTTGAGCTCATCTTTGTTCATGATTATCATTGGTAAATTTGATTGGAGGTACCCTACACACTGGTGGACGTTATTAAACGAAGACCTAGGTTATTACATGAAACTCTTGGTGCCAGGTATGGGGCACCCCTAAGAAATAATTAGTCAAGGAGGCTCCTAAAACATAGGCTATTGCCACTGCTCTTGGTTGTGTGTCGTAGTTAGAGAATAAGTCCCTATTGTTGAAGGCACACAACACATTTTACTTACAGGACACAGAGAAATCAATCTGGCACTGACTTGCAAACTTCCTCCTTACCAGATAGCTTTCTCAGTGCCAGAAGGTGCTGAACATACTACAAAAGAGAAAAGTCCTTAATGGATTTAGCTGGTGGTAGGCCCTGCATGTCACAATGTTACTACTGTACGACAGTGGCATGACTGCAATAGGGGTAACCAATGCTTTCTAGTTGGATTTGGGGGCGTCTCCATAGGAGACAACTCATGTCTAGTACTGTAAAACTGGTCAAATGCCTATGGCCGTGGAAGTCATGGGCTCTAAGGACAAACCTACTGCTGCTGTTTTGTTAAATGGATAGGTTTTCCGAGTGCCTTCTAAATTCCTGTCTTTATACCGTGTGCTCTCAACCCTGGCTAGAGAAGTTCTTTTTTTTGGCAGTGGAGAGCATCCAGTGTAGAGACTCATGACTGATCAAAGTGCAGAGACTAAGTGGCTGTTTAATAGTCAGCTCTGAATAGGCCATTTATATCAATATCCTTTTCTACGGCTCAGGGAGCACTAAAGAAGTGGTGGAAAGAACAGAAGGCCTGAAGGATGAGGAAGAGTGCTGCGTACATAATGCAGCCTTATGGACAGGACATGGACATTGCATGCACAAGCTCACAGCAGCTATGGTTATCTGCAAATCCATAGTCCAGCCTGGATGGAGGAGAGGCTCATAAGGCTGCACCCACAGTTGAGGAGTGTTGGCAACTGATGGCTGCTGTGTGTGTGTCCACTGGTAGGTTGCCCATACTCCAGTAGATAGCACACACCTAGGAACAGGAAGAAAGCACTCACTGGTTTCAGATGGTTATAAAAAGAAAAAGAAAAAGAAAATAGGGGAGTGGGGATGAGGACTTGGTATGACTAAGACACACTGTAAACACGTATGAAATTGTCAAGCAAAGATAAAAAGAACATACTAATTTACAAGGCCAGGCAGAAATACTTCCCTGACTTGATGATATGAACCCTGCTGAGAAAAGCCATTTTAATGCTCATTTTTAATTTTTATAAAGTTTAGTTTCTAACTTATTAATTTTCATCTTAAGCAGTATCCATTCTCAATTCATTATCTTTGAGTTCTTAACAGTAGCTATTATGCTTGCTATTACTTAATTTTTTTTTTTTTTTTTGGGAGAAAGCGCCTATTCTTGTTCTGTCACTGTAATATCCCCTGGAATCTCACTGAAGATGAGAAACAGACAATTTCAGTGTTTCAGACCTTACATAATCTTCCACCTGCTCTCATCTCCATGGAACACAATGGAGTTCTCAATTTACCGATTTTCTGTCTGAGTGAACAGGGCTTTGCAGCAAGTGTGATGTGCACAGAATAATCTACTCTCTACTTTGATCTCATTTTCTTTTAAAGTCCGAGTTCCAGCTCTGCTGTTTAAAACCGATTTCTGCCCTTTGGACTTCTCTGTCTAGTTCCTACTTCTATGAGCCCTGTCTCAGCTCATGCTCCAGGGGTTCTATGTTTTTTGGGGGGGGTCTCTTGTACACACAACACCTTGTGCATATGCTAGGGGGCCACTTGAGGCCTCAGGGGAGGGGCATGGAGACCGTGATAGGAAGTGATACTTCTTAAGGAGTATTTAGTATAACCTATTAGATGATAAGAAATGAAAACATTGTTTAGAATTGTCTGTGGGCTGGGTTGGGGAGGCTCAGCAGTACAGCATTTCCCAGGGCCTTGGGTTCCATCTCCAGTACCACAAAACAAACACTCCTTCCTAACTACCTCTCCCTAAAGAAATAATTACTCATAGACCTAAAGCCAGCAGAAGTCCCACGGTCTTATAAAAATCCATAATTTCAGGAGGGAAGCAGTAGACTTGAAAGCATCTTTCTGTTAGTCTTTCTTTTCGTAGACTTCAAACTTGTACTTGATTCCTTTTTCCTCCTGGACCTCAGAGAGGACGCCTGGGTATCTGGAAAAGAAAAGTTTTCACAATTCAGTTCAACATCACTGAAAACAGAGTACAGCTTCCCTAACTTCTCACCTGAGGGCATCAGCACTGTGGGATGTGCAACAAGAAGCTTTCCTTCCTCCTTCTTCAACATGGCAAGCCACTCCTAAGGTCATATTCACAACACACAGTGACAGAAGGAGACAGCAAACTATGTAAAGCCAGAAGTGCAACATCTCAAATCTTTTCCTTTATTTTGCATTCATATTTTTTCCTCAAAAAAAAAAAAAAAAAAAAGAATCCCAGTTCCTATTTCTCTTGTATTGTTCTACTCTACCAATGAGCTACTAGGCAATTTCTTAGGAACCTTTTGCAAGTTATAGTTAAAATCACATTTCTAAGAAAAGAAAAACAAATTATCTATAGCTGCTTAAGACTAGCATTGTATGCACGGAACCATTTCTGCTGACTTATGGACATACCATGTCTTTACTAGCCTGGCAACACGTGGCATACTGTGACTGCTTCGTTAGAACCAGTGCACCTGACCTCTTTCTCCATCCTCTGACTCTCACTTAGGTCCCTGCCCAGCCCCTCTGGCCACTCTGCCTCCCAGGGAGCACTCCCACGTCCCTGCAATGATGACAATGTCTCCGACAATGCAGCCTTTGCTCTCCTGTGTACACATGTCTGTACTTGGCTGGCAATCAAGCCTCCTTCATGTAATAGCCTATGTCTGACATGGTCCTCAAAGTCCCTTCCAGTGTTAGGTGATACTCCAAACTCATGGTTGCCAAGGATGCTTCAGAAAACTTTAACATGTCTCCTGATATATAATGCACTGATGAGAAATAACAGACAGTAGTTACAATGTGGAAAAATTTGTGTCAAAGTAAGAAACTCTATGTGCTGTTTTCTAGCCTCTCACTGTTCACTCTCTATAGTACTCCTGCCTTTTAAAACTGATTTTACTAGGCCTGTTTTCAACTATGATCTGTTTCTTTGGAATGAGTCAGGGAAAGTCATATTTGCATATTTTTTTGTGTGTAAAATTCAGCATCAAGACCGTCAGTCACTAAGACAAAGTAAAGTGCCAAGAGGTTCTTTCAAAAGCTAAGAATAACAAAATCTAAAACGACTGGCTGAATATGTTCAGTAGCTCCCACATTAATGCAATTTTTCTGTAAAACTAAAATTGAACTCTTCTTAAATCTTTTTTTTCCCTCTACTATCTTTAGGTCTTTTAAAATAATGGTTATAATTACAATCACAATTCTAAACTTTTTTGGTTTTGAGATAGGATCTTATTCTGTATCTCAGGCTGGCTTTGAACTTGCAGGCTCCTTCAGCACTGAGATTATAGTTGTTAACCAGCACCCCAGCTCTGTTCCAAACAAAATTTCCTGAGAACTGTCCTTGGACTCTGTGTGTGCACGCATGTGTGTGGTTTATATACATGCTCCTGTGTGTGCACCCACCTGGGGGCAAGAGTTGTTTTCCCAAGTCCATTTGCCAACCACTTTCACTGCAGATACTTTTAACTCCTAAGCCATTTTCCCAGCCCAGGACTTGGACTCCAGAGTTCAAGGCCCACAGGAATTGGTGTACTACCTATTCTTAGGCTCCGACCCACTTCCTCCCATTTAGAATCTTTAAGCATTAAGAGTCAGAATCAATAGCAACTCTAAAATAATAAAAGACTACAGCAATAAAAGATGACTTGGTTGAAGCTCTCAGAGGCAAACACAATTCTTCAAACAGTTTTCTATAAGGAAACAAACAGCAAGTAAAATAAAATGGGCATTTTACCAGAAATGCAGGCTCTAGTGGAGATTTTGGCAGTATCTCAAGAGTCAAGAGGTAGAGGGATCAGAAGAAGAAACACCAGTACATCTATTTTACTCCATGGTGTTCCCTGATGAAGGGCATGGGTCCTAGGTTTGAAACCAACTACCAACTCTGCTGTGGTATGCAAGGAGTCTGTCTTCTAAGGCATCACATGTTAAAAGACTGGTCCTGTGTGATGACACTGGTGGTGGACCTTTGAGTGTGACCTAGGTTAATGGGAAGTATGTCCTCAGATGGGACTTTGAGACTCCCGTTTCTCTGTCTTCCTGATTTCAAGTGTGAAGGCTCCCTCTAAGGGTGCTGCTCATTGTGAGCTGGCTGTCTGTCTTTACCAAGTGTGAGCGGCGATGCTGAGGCTCACAGCACACCTTTCAGGCTCCAGAACTGTGAACTAAATATCTCTTTTCTAAAGTTAGGCTGCCTTAGGTATTCTATTAGTGATGATAAAATGGGCTAGCTTTTTTTTTTTTTTTTTTTTAGCTCATTAAACAGAATATTGCTGATATAAAACTTTTGGGCCTACTGGTTTGGTTGAGGTCTCATGATGTTTTACACAGAAAAATTTCTTCCAAGCTCTATCAATGAGGGCTGGCACAGTGCTGCTGAAGTAACAGTTGCATAGGCAAGGACTTAAAGGAAAAAAGGCCAGTGCATGGTAAAACCACCGGTTCATTAATATGAACTTTGGATCTTAGGCTTCATCCATTTTCTAATTCCTTTTCCACTCATAGCAGTCCTTGCTTTTATCTTTATTTCAATAGAGTAGTGACTGAAAAAAAAAAATCATAAGTCGCATGATGTTAATGAAAGGTACTGTGTTTGAATGGAAACCTGACTAAACTAAGAGTAATATACTCAGCTTATGGAGACAACAGGGATCAAAAGGAGCACTAATGAGCTCCCCATCTATCCACATGAAAATGTCAGACGTGGTACCAAGAGTGTATCTCTAAAGCTGTGGAGGTAGAGACAGGACATGTTTGGGGCTTGTGGGCCAGTCAGCCTACTGAATGAATTCCAGGCAAGGAGAGACCAGTCTCAAAGAGGACAGTGCTTCTGAGGATGACACTTGAGGCTGTCTACACACGCACACGCACAGAGTCTCATCATTTGAAGGTTCAGGGATCACTGTAGAAGAAGGGCTAGAAAGACTGTAAGGGACAAAGATTAGTGGAGAGTTGCAGAACAGTTGTAGTTTCTGGACAAGAGAAAGCTGTCGTACGTATGAGCTTAACTGCATGTTATCAAACCCATACAAGCTACAAGCATGGGGAGACAAAGCCAAGAAGTCCCACCCCAAGCTTAGGAGCTACTGACAACTAATGGCCACTGGGGGAGGAAGAGTCATTTTTCTTCAGGGATGTGGCCTCTGAATGTAGCATGTAGGTGAGTGCACAGTCATACACATACTGACTGTACTATGTGGACTCAGGGTGTCAACAAAACAAAACAAACTAGAAAATTGGGAGGGAATAGTTATGGGAGGATAGGAGTCAGAAGAGATGAAATGGGATATGGATTTCATAATTTATCTTAAAAACATAAATAAAATACACACATAAGTAAATACACATGTAAACCGAGTAGGAGCTGAAGGAAAGATGGAGAGGGGTGGAGAATGATTAAAGCTCATTCCGAACCTTAGCAGCAATGAGAAGTTTCCCAGTATATAGAGGCTGAGACAAAGACCCAGGGTAGAGCAACTCTACCACCTTCTAGACACAGAGCACACTTACTGGGCTGGGTAGTGTATGTCAATACAACAGAAGATGAGGAGGGCATCTGGGAAGGAGGAATCTTAATCAAGAAAACATTCCCATCAGATTGGCCTATGTGTGATTAACTGACAGAGTGGTCCCATCCCATGGTGGGTGGTGGTTCTCATGGGCAGGTGGTCCTGGGGTATACAAGAAAGCCAGGCTGAATAAACCACAAGGAGAAAGCTGGTAAACAGTATCCGTTCCTACCTCCAGGCCCTGCCCTGACTTCTTTCCATGATGAACCTGGAAGCATAAGATGAAATAAACCCTTTCTTCTCCAAGTTGCTTTTTGGTCATTATGTTTTATCTTACTGTTTACTTTTTCTAACCTTAAAGGAAGACAGACCTACTTAAGGTCTCTCTTTAGGGAATTCTCTCTACTGTGTTAAGGAGGCTGCTGGGATGTTAGTGGCCTTGTCCTGTTTCAATCCTCTCACCACAAACTCCTGTGAAAGGAAAGAACCAACACAAGCACCCTCAGCTTTTCCAAGCAGGAGACAGTGCTTCTTAACTCACCCTGCCTCACTCACCCTGCAAGTCAATATACCCTGATTCCAAGACTAACTGAACACTGAAAACATCATACACCAATGTCTTGTACGGATAGAAATACAAAAATCCTTAATAAAATGTAACAAACTGACTCTACTAACATATAAAAAAATATCACATACAATTCCCAAGTAGAATTGATCTTGGAAATGCAAGATTAGTTTAATATAAAAACCAATCAAGTAATGTACAGTATTAATAGTGTCAAATGGTTTAGAAAAAATGTGGCAAAATCCAACAGTTCTTCATGATCAAAGCACTTAATGAACTAGAAATGAAAGGGCTCTTCCTTAGTATGAGAAAGTCACGTGCTTTCCCACTAGGATCATGAGCAAGACAAGTAAGGTGTTTCTCTAATTTCCTAGTCACCCTGCTGGAGGTTCTGGATCAGATACACAGGCAACAGAAAGAAACAGCGAACATCTGACTAAAAGGAGGAAGTACAGCTGCAGAAGATACTAACAGGACAGTTCTCACTTTCACCTTAATTTCATTACAGGGTACCAGATGACTACGTCATTCAACTATCAACAAATATATACATCAAATACGCTCCAACTATGAAGTTACAGGATGTCAGATAGACTGACCTGTAGTTTTATACACTAATGTGAACAGACTGAAAACAATAGCCTCAAAAGGAATAAAACATACTCAAAGCAGTGCAAGAACTGAACACTAAAGCATTACTTACCTACCAGAAGAGAGTAAACATCTATCTAAGTAAAAAGCTCCTACATGCTCAAGGTTTAGGATTTCATACTGTTTAGAGACAGTTCTCTTCAGAGTGTTCTATGAATACAATACCTATGAGAATCCCAGCTTGCTTTCTATCAGAAACTGGCATAGTAATATAAAATTCATATGGAACCCCAAGGGATCCAGAACAGCAAAAAGCAATCTTGAGATAGAACAAATCTGAAAGGTTTATGTTTCCTGATTACAGTTAGAATTATATGTAGTAAGCCAAGCCAAGTAGCTATAATTCTAGCCCCTGAGAAATGGAAGCAGGTGGTCATTCTTGGCTAGCTGGTGAGTTTCCAGGTCAACCTGGGCTACATGAAACCTAGTTAAAACCAAAACTAGACTGTGAAATAGTAGCATAATGATACACATTGACCAATCGAAGAGAACTAAGAGTTCAAAAATATTTCCCATTTATAATCAAGTGAAACTGGTGACAAATAGGAATGAATGTAAGCACAGCAAGACCACGGCGGTGCTTAGTCTTTACAGGCGAGTGCCAGGATGTGTCCCTATGTCAGCAAACGTGTTGGCTTGCTTTTTAAAAGTCAGAGAACCACAGTGGCATTTAAATTGTCAAGGATCCTCAAGGGTCAGCACCTTTGAAATGTTCTGATTAAAATCGGTAAGCATTAGAAAGGTCTTTAAATGAAGCTAATCACATAGCAGTCTGTTCTTATTGCTGGGGGGGGGGAGAGAAATGAGAAGGGAGAGCTGAGATTTATATTCATACAATGTAAGAATTCACAATTTAAGTAGAAGAGAAAATACACAGGGTGTGATTTTCACATAAGCATTTTAGAAAATGATCAATTGTGGTTTTCGGTTTAGACATCACTTCAGGAGCCCAAGCAAATCCTGGACTTTAGCTGCTGATGTTTCCTGTAATTTTCTGTTTACTTTAGAATTAAAAATTCTATTTACTTCAGAATCACTGAATTTAAAGTTTATGTTGTTTTATAGAATGCTAAGGCTGCTATTCTAAAGCTTGACTATCCATTTATCCAGACTAAGTTGTTACGTTTCTTTAGGGGATGTGTAAAAGGCAAATTCACACTCAAAGGATAATTACCAGACACAGTTGGGACTATTTGGAAAAATGTGTTAAGAACTGGTCTAACTTTTTCTTGTACTTTCTATAGCTAACTGTTTGAACCACTTGTAAACTAAAACGCTCCAAGGTTTTCAACTCAGGGAGCTTCCTACTGGCATCACAAGGGTAGCCTTTCTCCTGCATCGTCACCATGCTGGCCAGTTTAACCTCTGACTCCTTATCCTTCACCCAAATCCAGACTTCCCTGGTTCCTCGCCATGCACTTGCCACCGCAGCTGGGACACCATCCCATCTCAGAATCCTCTAAGGCAGGACTTGGTGTGAGTCACTGGCCTCCTCCTGGCTAACAGAAGAGGCCAGCTTCATTCTTACTTCAGGCTCCACTGTGTTTACTGCTCCTGGGCCACCCTTCCTGCAGTTGTGTGGCTGTTTTGTTGATCTTGACCCCTCAAACAGTACCCACCAGACTGCACTGTTTCATGCTTGCCACAGGCCACCCCTCCAACCTCACTGTAAAGTGTTTGTTTCCAGGGTGGGCAGCAGCACCAGCAGGCAGAATCAACACAATTTTCACAGTGTCCAAGCAAGGCCTGATTCCCCTAGAATGAGCTAGTGACAACTGCTAGATGCCATTAAAGTCACTGAAGCCAGAGTATTTCTAAGTCTGTTAAAGTAGATTTCTAAAAGTTCTTATGATATATCTTTGTAGGGACAAACAAACCTCTATTCCAGATGTGGCATTCGCAACAGACCAAAGGAACAACTCCCAGGTCTAGCTTAGTGAACTCATGAGTTTGCTTGTGTGACTTACAAGAGTATGGGTGACAGAGTAAAAGGCAGCTATGGAAAGCTCACTCTAGGACGTGACAACACACAGAAGCTGCATCCCTAGCACCCCTGGATGGCAGGCAGGCAGCTCATCAGTCTCTGCTCCCCAACAGCTGCCAGCACTCACACAACCTCTAGGGAGGCCGTGTTACTCCTAAGCTGGAGGAGCTTCCTGTACCTTATAAACTGAATTTGCTTCCTGAGTCTTAAATCTTTTCTCCTTCCTCCAGGCAGGCATGTTTCAGTTAGGAAGAAATAGCTACCTAACATCAGCTGAATTGGCAAGCCCTGTAACTCCTCTGTGTAATTTAGCCCCTGAATAAAAAATTAAAGAAACATGAATCATGTGAAACAAGACACTACATTCTCATGCCACAGAAGAGGGAGAAATCTAGCTGCACTCATGTAGAAGCTTCGTTCCTATTGGCTAGTATTCACCGTGCTGCAAGGTGCTACCAGAAAAGAGAAAACCCAACAGTCTCACCTACCTTGAACTCTGTGAGCTACAGCAATAGCCAGCTGCCTGCAGGACACACTGATTCAACACTGGCATGAATGTTATGGGAGTAACCAGCCGCTGCTGCTTCTTTCTTAAAGATGACTCCATGAGATGGAACTCATACCTGACACTGTGAGCAAAGCTAAGAACCTGAAGCTAGGAAGGTCATGGGCCCTAGGGGAAAGCCCACTATCATTCTGCTAAATTAACATAGCAGTAAGATGACTCTTAATGGCACGCTGTTATACCCACAGCCAGTCACCATGGAGAAAACAGACTCTGGAACATTCAACCCTAAACGTGATGTCTATAATACACATACTCCCTCCTCAACGCTCAGGGCTCTACATAGAAAAGGGAGAAAAAGACTGCAGAGCCAAAGGCAGTGGGTGACTTTGATAGGACAGGGCAGATGCACTGGAGAGCTCAGTGACTGTGACAGCATGCACAAGAGCTGCACAGGCTCAAGACAAACAAGATTCCAGCATGAGGAATGGGGACAAATCCCACCCTTCACCAGACAGTGCTGCGAGGGGAAGTTAGTTTTCTTCAATAGAGTGACCTTGTGTCTATCAACCACACCCCAGGACTGGCCCCAGGTTTAGGAGTTCAGCCAGTGCGGACTGTACCCCATGTTCTTTTTGTTTTTGTTCTTAAAGAGAGAGAACATGACCTGAAAGACGGTAGAGGAGGGGATGGATAGGATCCATAGATATCGTATGAAATCTTCAAATACATATTGCTACTTCAAATCAAATCTGAAAAAGTTGCTCTTCTCTGTAATTCCTTTTCCTCTTTTTATTACTATTTTATTTAAGTTATGGCTTCTGCTGCGACATGCTAATTCTCATACATATATGTCACTGTACCTTGTTCTTACTTGCTTCCCCCATTCTTTCTGTAGTTAGTCCTTTAAAGTGCTTTTCACTAATTAATAACTATATACTTACTCTGGGAGAAGTTTATATTTCTCCAAATCAATTTCTGGGAAAAATGTGTCACTTTCAAATTCTTGCATGATCCTTGTCACAAAGAGTCTGAGGTGGCCTGGCTGATTCATGGCTTCCTTTAAAACAAAACACAAGCAAGGTATTACTCTCCTAAACCTGTGTTGAAAGGCAAAGAGACTAGAAGATACTTGCTTTAGTTATGTTTGTACTATGCATTAAATGCGTGTTTACAGTTGCTCAAACTTACTATGTATAAAATATTTTGAAGAAGAATTTGCTTATATTTTTAAAAATGATGCGTACATGTTCTATGTTTTTGTGTGGGTATGTGTATGTGAGTACTGCTATTTGTGGAGGCCAGAGGAGCTGGAGTTGGAGGTGGCTGTGAGCCACTTGAAGTGGATGCTGGGATCTGAGCTCAAGTCCTCTCTGAAAAGCAACAAGTGCTCTTAACCACTAAGCCATCTCCTCAGTCCCTTAAAACTTACTACACAAACTCTCTACTCTGAAGCCTCAGTTACACTGACAATAACACTAGCCACAATTAGTAATTGTGAAAATAAATTCTGGCCTCTAGTTTATTACATATTTTTTTTTAAAGTTTAAGTATTCAGTCATGCTGCTTTCTTTCGGATGCTCTTATAAGGGTTTACCTCTTATTACCTAGTTGCTATTGGAAAGAGAAGTTTGCATCTGTACACTTGTGTAAAAAGTATGTTTGTGAGATTGTCACTGTTGAAAATACCATGGGAACACTCAGTACACCATTTCTTTAAAATTATTTATTTATTTATTTATTTATTTACTTACTTACGTATTTGTGTGTCTGTGTGGGTAAATGTGCCTGTTTGTGCCTATGCTGGAAGAGGCTATGGAATCACTGAGTTGTAGAAGTTTACAGGATGTCCTTGTTATGTGGGTGCCTGGATTCGAATCCTGGTCCTCACAATTGTGTAGCGAGAGCTGAACCATGTTTCCAGCCCCACTGGTATACCTTTCTTAGTCTGTCATTACTTAAACTGCCTCCATTTCTCTATAAGCCAGGTATTCATCTTGTCACTTGTTAATAAGGCACTCAGTATGTTCTGGTTAACGACTTTTCTAACCAGTGTCTATGATGTTAATTTGATAGTTTCTATAGACAAAATGGTCTTGGAAGAAATAACTTATATTTTTAATGGAAAGGATGATTCTTAAGAGTAGATCCAAGAAAGCATTAATAACTATTAATCCTCAAAACATATATAGGAAGAAAAAAATACATGCATACCTAAGATTTCAAGTTGTTAACTTCCAAATATGAGCATAGAACATTCTTTTCCTTTCAGTATTTCAGCTTATGTTAAATCACTTATTATCACTGCTGCAATCAAATAAATATGCGACTCCTTTCCTCTGTAGCCCAAACCAGAGAAGTTGACAAGGACTAACTATAGTTGTGTCTACAGTTCTACATCAAAGCGAGGCAAGCCTTCCGTAAAGGAACATTAGTGAATATTTCAGGCACTGGCGGCCACAGGCTTCTTACTCGTATAGCTAAAGCAGCTGTGCTTTGAGCATTGATATACTCCACTTCAGAGCTGGCATGGGAGGAAGGCTGAAAGCTCTGCCACATGCGAGCCACTACCTGCAGGCCTCCACTTCCTTACTGGAGAGCTAGTTATATAAGTGCACTTAGTCCTTAGTCTACAGAATGTATCTCAATGAGACAATGGTACAGGAATGTGAGACACGGAGGGTTTATAGTCAGCTTAGGAATCTGTAATCCTTCTTTAATCATTTCTGTGTACACATGTTAACATAGACCCCCAAAGAGGTGGGACTGATTTTTCTTCCACATAAGTGTTAACCTTTCCAAAGAATAGCCAAACAAACAAACAAACCAGAAGTCACTTGGTACCAAATGACACCAGAAGAGTATTTTCTGTTTTGCCCATTATTTTCTACTATGATATGAAACCATGCCATCCCCTGCTGCCCTCAGGTTGCATGGAGGTCGCTGAGGAAAAGTTTCCATCTGTTTGCCTGTGCAGACAGAGCCCATGCTCTTCTCAGCATGGCATTTATCCTGGAGGCAAAGGCACAGCAGCACACCCAGGGCATATCTGGGGAGTTGAAAGCCGTACCATATAAGCACTATGCTCAAGAAATCAGACTGATTCTCAAACTGAAAATAACTAGTGTTTTGAATTGAAAATGACTAGCATGTGGGAAGAGCTTGGCCAAAGAACACAAGATTCCAGTTACACAGGAAGGATAAGATCTGGGGGCTCCACTGCACTGCATGGCGACTGTGTTAGGAGCAGTGTCTTACTTAATGTGCTCTTCAAATTTATGGGAGTTGATTTTAAGTGTTCCCATCACAAAAAAATAAGCAAGGTGATATAGCTCAATTTAGCCTCTCCACAAATACATGCTTCAGATTGTCTGATTATTTGCCAGTTTAAAAATAGACTTAAAAATAAGGCATTGAAGTTGATGGGAGTGGGTGGGAGGGTGAATCTGCCTAAAGTACACGAAACACGGTGCAACATCATAATGTAATATAAACTTTAGACATTAACATATAAATATGTTCTATTTATAAATATGAATGGTATAAATTATAAATCTTACATTTACCTTTATATTTATTTTGCATGACATTGTCAAATAATTCACTTTGACACTTGTGTAGCTTACAGCATGGACAGACAATGTGCTGCTTATTATGTACAGGCAGAAGTAGGAGAGGGTATTTCTATTTACCTAGAACTCTACTTACCTGGTAAACAGAACTGCCTCCGACTATCCAAACCATGTCCACTTTATTTGCTAACTCTGGTTGTTCAATAAGTTTTAAGGCATCATCCAGACTTTTGGCAAGAAAATGAGCTCCTTGTGGTGGTTCCCTGAGGTTTAAAAAAACAGGAATTATGGATTTTGTAAAAACCTGTCCATACTAGACAAATAATCCGAACTGGCAGCAGTCTACAAACTATGAAAACTTAATTCTTTCAACTCTAAGTACTTAGAAAGTATAGGGCCAGTGTCCAATATCCAGTCTACATTTCATGCCCGAATAGAACTTACAAATCAAGACATAAAGTTGTAAGTGACACCCTATTGTATCTGCAGTGGAAAACAAACTCAACAGGAGCTGTCTCTGCTGTGGTGAAGGTCGGGGTGGAGAGTGAGGGACTCTCTGGAGACTTAGCAGGGTTACGTAGGTAAATCCTTATTTATACTGTGCTCATGTGCATGTCCACCTCATTCTCCACCCTGACCTTCACTGCACACAGCAGAGACAGCTACTGTTGACGTTGTTTTCCACTATAGATACAATGGGGTGTCACATATGGCACTGTATTAACACCTACCACAAGCTAGAACAACATGGAATTCTAGCTAATGACACATGGGATACACTTGGGGGAAATGGACTCGTTTTGCCCTTTATTCTGAAATGTACAGATGTTTAATGGCAGAGTCCATGCAGTGGCTGTGCAGATGTTTAGTGAACAGTTCTGTCAGTTTGAAAACTGACCTGATTAGACAGAGAATATCCACACGATCCTGAAACATCTGAAGCAGCATTCAGATTGTTAATGTGGGGAAAAGAACTTTCATATTTTGAACAATATGGAAAGGAGAGAAAGTATTTGGAAATGAGCTTGTCATCAGTTACATAATACTCAGAAAGGAAAATGTTAAATAAACTCACTGCTTAATGTTGACCAGCTCAAATTTCAGATCTCATATTTGATGGTAAGGGGAGTTGCAGTTCCCTTTATAAATGAGGAAACTTATACAACCAGGCTTTTATAGTGATTAGATACAGAACAGAAATTATTAATTCAATGTCAAGTTCTCAGCTGGTGCTTTAAAAGGATTACTTACATAATTGTCTTTGAACTGGTAGTTGTAACAATGATTAATCAAGAACTAATGGGGACTATTCATTTTCTGGTGGCATTCTCCCTCTCTTCCTGATTTCTCTTTTACTTTTCTCATTCTTTGTCATATGTAAGGGAATTAAGACAGAGCACATATATATTTGGACTTACACTGGAAAAACAAAGCAAACTAGCGTAGTCCACCGTGAGGTAAATGAGCTCAGCTGTCACTAAAGTCACCAGGTAACCTCAGGGACAGGACTGGGTATGGCGGGGTTCCACATACACACACATGTACAACTAGAAGGAGAGACTGAGAGTCATGGAGAAGATGATCTAGTTCATATATCGTCTACAGTGATTGGACTGTTGAAGTTAGGAGGGTGGTAAGGATGAAACGCAACACAAGATGCTGATTAAGGAACTGCTGCAGTCTGAAGCTGAGAGCAGTATTATCCCTCCAGGGACAGGAATGTGCTTGCTATGCTTGAGGTCCTGGGTTTGATCCCTAGTACACACAGGAGGACAGTAAGAAATCACCGATGAAGTCCTGAACTTAATGTGCTAACCTCAGAGCTCTCAAGAGCAAGAGAGCTTCCCTGGTCTCCAGAGGATTTTCTTTTTCTACTACTTTTTCTTGAAATGTTCTTCAGGATCCAAAGTCTTTATAGTCATTCCAGCTGAATAACTGTTATGCTCCCATTTAAAAAGGGGTTCATGTAGAAAGAAAATGCAGTACCCTCCAGTAACCTTCGTGTACTCAATTAGTACAAAATTTACCGTCTAAAGACTCAAGTCCCTCACTTCCAAAACAATTCCTCCATCACTTCTCCAAAGCAGAGTAGCTCACATGTCTTCCTGGTACCTTGTGCTTTTCCAGCTTTCAGATAACTGTTGACTAACATTCCTCTGCACAGGTAGGTGTCTTAAACTCAACTGACCTATCCAGGTTACCACAGTCAGTGCTTCTTTTAAAGATGGGCTCTTCTCTATCTTTAAGGTACTCTGGCTCTTTATTTTAGGACATTTTCTTTGCCATAGTAATTCTTGAGGCAAATTTTCAGAATAAAATGAACCTCTATTTATTGTAATTAAGGAATAGTCTTGTAATAGGTTGGGAGAAACTGAAGAGAAACAACACATGTTTGACACTGAATTAGATCCTGAAATAATAAAAGAGCAGCAATGGGAGAATTGGTGAAATCTGAATAAACTCTAGTTTATTAAAAAAACCAAAACGGAACAAAACAATCCAAAAAGAAATTGTTGGTGTGAACTTAAAAGAAAATGGGCAATTATATGAATTCCATGTCAAGAATTGTGTGGACATTGCTGCTATTCTGTTTCTTAACTAGTATTCAGATTAAGAGAAACGGTATGTAAGTAGATGTTCTATCTTGCAACAATGTTTAAGTAGGCACTCCATTGAGAAACAATGTTTAATTCGTTAGACCATTTAGCAGAACCAGCCTCCCCGGTAGCTACTAGAGAGTAATTTAGTTTCTAATAGACCAAGTGGGGAAAATATACAATATTTTATAATTTCTGATATACAGAGTTGAATCATTAGGATGATCCTAATTTTAGGACACCCAAAGACCACTAATCCTGTAAAGATTTCTCAACTTCTAGGCTGTCAATAAAGGTTTAAAAATCCTTCTACCTACTATAATAGGATGGGAATGAGACATACCTCAGCAATGGCCAAAAAGCATGAAAGCAGAATAGGAAGATGTGCAGAGAACCTGGCTGCACACATGGTGAAAATCTATGGCAGGGCAATGAGTGCCTGACTCTTCCACTGAGTGTGGACTGAGGGAAAAACATGCCCCAAAGCGCTGACCCTTCCTTAGAGATCACTGCAGGTTACAGTGAAGTAATTTAACACATGAAAACTCAGAGAAAGTTGAGGATAGGAAAAAAGTAACTTGAGGTGAGGCTCAAAATACTAATGAAAACAATAGTGCAGTCTCTAGACACCTAGAATAAAGGAGAGGGTATGTGTTGATTTAGGCGATTTATGTATGTCTTAGTATTCAAGAAATGAAAAAAAATAATGACTTGCTAAGGTGAAAAGTAGATTATGAGCTTATTCACTGTGATCCCATTAATGTTAAACGGCAAAAGATTTCGGTATTATAAAGAGAAATCAAATACCACTCATCTCCATTTTTATGGTGCTAGGGTCAAACCCAGGGCCTTACACTATGTTTCTCCCTTAGTTCCTAATATTAATATTTTCTATAAGCTACAAGGCAGTGAGGTTAGGAACTGGTATCTGCTAAGTTTGGCCTACTACTTTGTGCTATAGTTCACCAGCACCATTGCTTATGGCCTGAGGTAAAGACCCACCATGTCAGGAAATATGTGGTAGGGCAATGAGATACTTAATGGAAGACAGGAAGCAGATTCCTTTCCAAAGCTGGCACTAAATGATCCATTTCTCCCAATCAGGCACCATCTCCTAACGTCCCTTCAGTTGTGAGGTTATCAGAAGATTGATAAAGTTAGTTTGAGCTCTCATAATCCAATTACCCCACCCCCAGAAGTCCATCAACTACAACAGGAGCTTTATGGGGACATACAAAATGCAAACAATAACAGGTGAGTGAGACACTTAACATACAGAATCCAGGCAATCCTCAAAAACCAGCCTAACAGCTGTTTTATTAATCTCAGTTAGTAGGTAATACAGTTGAGGTTCAGCAAGCTTCACTCATGACCTGCCTAAATCCCAAAGCTACCTGGAGACAGAGCAGGGAGGAGAGGCCCAGTAACTCAGTCCTGAATGGGCAACGTGTGTGGATCAGAGGGGAAGGCTTTAAGAAGGGGAGATTGTCATCACTAGAAGAATATGGTAGAGGAATCATAAAAATTATTATACCATTAAACTTACAATAGCTCTTATGCAGATGATTTGCAGTGTGTTAGACAATTTGTAGTATGTATATAATATATCACAGAGGCAATTGAGATCTCTCAAAGATAATTTCAAGGATACAGCATTCATATCTGAAACTTTTAAAATTTTTGGGTACCAAGCCATTCACAAACACACACACACACACACACACACACACACACACACACACACACACA